CCGAGCCGGCCCTCTCCGGCGCCCGCGGGCGCGCACGCGCGTCCCGGCACCACCCGCCCCTCAGCGCGAGACCCTCGTCCCGCCCGCAGCGCTGGGGGAGGGGGTGCCGACGTCGCTCCCCCGTCCCCTCCCGCGCTCTCAGACGACCGACCCGCAGCCACCTCCCTTCAGGCGCCGTGGCCTGCCGCTCACCATGTTTCTGGAAGCTAAAAGAATATGACAAAGAGAGCCAGAGAAGACGAGAGCCGCTGCAGCTGCTGCCGGGATCCGACTGAACGCGGCCTCTCCCGGCCCCTTCCGTTTAGTAGGAGCCGCACAATGAGGGGCGGGGCGGGCTTCCGGCGCTCCCCCCGCGGGTCGACGGGAAATGAAGTCCGAGGGTCCTGCGCTGTCTTTGGGATCGCCTTGGGATCGCCGGGTAACGATCACTTTGTGGTCAGCCCGCCTACCGGCTCCGCAGTGCATGGCGGGAAATGTAGTCCGAGAGGGCTGAGGCGAAGGACAAGGAGAGCGCGCCCATTGGCGGAGTTTCCCAGGAAACGCTCGGAACTGGGCTCACAAAAATGAACCCCGATTTCGCGGTCCTTAATTCTTGAGCGAAACGGTTTTCCTAGTACTCATTTTGGCAATTTCTGAATCCCTTAGTCTGAAAATTTTGATTGGGGTTGGGATTTTGGTTTTCTGAATGGAAGCAACTGTCAGATTGGCCTGGAATCCAGTCCTAAAGCAAGGAGACTCTCAAGGGTAAGGCGCATTTAATCCAATAAACATTCACTGAGTACCTTCCGTGTGCAAAGCTAGTCTTGTCTCCTCAAAAAAGGCCATACACAACTTTGTTGTTGTTGTTGTTGTTATGTGCCGTGGAGTCAGACCGGACTCATAGCGACCCCTCCTTGGGTTTCCGAGGCAGTATCACTACATAAGTAGATTGCCCAACTTTCCTTCTGGGGAGTGGCTGGTGGGTTTGAACCGCCAGCCTTCTGATTAGCAGTCAAGTGCCTTAGGCACTGCGCTACCAGAGCTCCCATATATAACTTTAATTAAATAAAAATAGGAAGAAATAAATAGACAAAGCCAAAGCTACAGAGGAAGACTTTGAAAGAAGGGCTTTGCCCTTGTTTAAAGATGTTTGACAGACATCATTCATTCACGAGGCACTAAAGGGGAAGGACAGGGGTGTGTGTGTTGCAATTTAGGGGTTCTTTTTGTCTTGCACTAGCCATTAGGGAAACTGATACTAAAGCAGTTCATAGCCAGGTAGATGATTAATCTAATACCGGCAAAACGGAGACAAAAGCTCTGTGAGAGCATAAACCTAAATAAAAAGGAACTAACTGGGGCGAGGAACTCCAGGAAGGCTTCGGTGGCCCCAAACGATGACCCTGCCGTCACACGCTACAAGAAGAGAAGACAAGAGTCGCAAATAAGTCAGAAGCATAGCCAGAAAAGAACTGGTGGCCCTGTGCCCACAAGCACAATACAAGGTGTAAGTGGAAGCCGGTTGCCCAGTCTTCACGACCCGGGAGCAACGCCCGAGAGTGAGGTACTTCGCAGAGCATGTCGGGGATTGTAGTTAGGGACATTGGCAGCACTGCCCACCAGCAGAGCTGCGGGGAACCCCAGGTGGAGGCCGCAGCTCGACCCGCACCTCCCACCAGTGCCCCAGTCAGAGAGGAGCCTGGCTCCACCTCTTTCGAGGCTCAGCGTTTCCAAGAGCAACGGTGGGGGGGGGGGCTTCGCAGTTACCCTGGAGACGAGCTCCTGCCTGCCCCCAGCCGCAGGATGCCCTAGATGTCCTTATTAGGGCATAAGACTAGAGGGGGCGGAGTCAGCTCGAATGCCGACTCCAGACTCCTTATAAGGCTGTGTCGGGCGGGAGGCCGGAGGCAGTTGGGGGTGAGGGATCGCAGGCTGGGCGGGGCTTAGAGGGGTGGGCTTGGCGCTCCTTCACCAGCCCGAGAGCTGCACTTGGCGATTTCCGGCGTGACGGCTAGAGGCCTAAGAGCTTCCCCGACCCACGGGCGAGACCCCCGTGTGAAGTCCTCTGTACATGCTCCTCAACCTGGGGCCACTTTGCAGAATTCCTATCAGTCAGTCCCCTTGAGGGTTCCCTACCCCCAATGAACCACAGAAACGGGGAAGCATTCTCCCATTCGATCTCAGTCCGGCTTATTCCTTACCACTCCCCGGGATCCAGCCACGTGCCCCTATCTCTAAGGATGCCCAGCACCTCGTATTTATAGTCCTCTTTTTACTAATCTTCTGACCCCCGCGTCCTAGCTGCAGTGTTCTCTGCCTGTCTCCGACTTCGCGTGCCCTGCTCTGCCTCGTGTCCACTAGCTCACCCCCGAGGACCCCTCAATTCCTCCTGCCTTAGTTTTGTGTCCTCATGTCCTATTCTCCCTCCTGGATGTCCCTCTCGCAAATATACCTGCATCTTCCGTTTCTCCTGGGCTCTTTGCAAGCCCAGTCTCCCTCCCCAGTCCCCTCTGTGAGAAGGGTGAGGTTGAAATTGACAGTAAAACTTGAAAGAAGCCAAACTCAGATTACTCCCTTAGGCGCGTCCCCGGCCCGCCCTCCCAACCACAGGGGGCGCTGTCCGCCTTTCCGTCGCCTGCACGCAAAGGGCGCCTCTTTCGAATTTGGGGTGGGAGGAAGGGGCGGAGTCTAGGCTTCAGGGACCGGGGTGGGGCGCGTCCAAAAGCTGATTCTGGACGGTGGGCTGTAGAGATTGCGTTCTTAACCAGCCACTTAGGATAGTGCGGGGGAGGGGAGGGGGGAAAGGGAGGTGATCCCCCTAGTTAGTGCTCTCATGGGATCACATGACTGGCCAGGCCCCGCCTCCTTGGAGCTAGGTGGTCCGATCTCAGCTCCAGAGCTGGTGTTGCCCCAGTCCCGCCGGAGTGAGGCGCCCGAGGACCAGCCTCAAGGTTCATGGCGGCGCCGGTCCGCCTGGGCCGGAAGCGCCCGCTACCGGTTTGCCCCAACCCGCTCTTCGTACGCTGGCTGACTGAGTGGCGGGACGAGGCGACCAGCAGGGGGCGCCGCACGCGCTTCGTGTTTCAGAAGGTGAGGCCTGGGCCAGCCTGATGGGGGCGGGCGCTTGCCAAGTTGGTCCTTAAGGCCGCACCCCCCTGCCCCGCCGCAGGCGCTGCGCTCGCTCCGGCGGTACCCTTTGCCCCTGCGCAGCGGGAAGGAAGCCAAGATCCTGCAACACTTTGGAGACGGGCTCTGCCGGATGCTGGATGAGCGACTGCAGCAGCACCGCGCGTCGGGCGGTGAGCGCGGGGGTCGAGCTTTCTCTGCCCCACCAGGTGTATCTATTTAGGATACCGTGGCTTCAAGCGCTCCATTCCTGCCCAAGTCGTTTGCCCCCGGCTGGTTCTCCGAGTTCACTTTCCCTCGTACCGCACGAACGTGCTGCGTCCCAGCCCCTTCTCGCCTGCTAGATTCTGTGGGCACCGGGGGTGACTCTCTTCCGCCTTCGCAGGTGACCATGCCCCGGTCTCACCATCGCGGAAGAGGAGGTCAGCCCCGAAAGGGCCATCCGTGGAAGCGCCACCCACGGAAGCCCAGGACCCTTCCATGCCCGTGAGCAGGGAACAAGGGGGGATTAGCAGGGAAGGTGGGAGAACCGGAAGTAAGATTTCCTCACGTAGGAGTTAGCATTCTCAGGGGATGTCGATGTTTGGAGGACAATTGAACTACTTACGGTTTTGGAAACTCTATGAGGTAGTTCACCTGTGCCTTAAAGGATCGCAATGAGTTGGACTCGACTCCATGGCAGTGGGCTTGGTTTTTGCTTGGGTTCAAATAGCTGTGTTGGTGACGCCCGGACTTAAACGAACAAAGATTTAGTTTGACAGAGTCTTCTTTTTTGTGGATGGCAGTATTGAAAATAGAGTTGCTAAGAATTCTGTGATTAAGCTCCTTAGGGGCCCAGCCCTGTGAGTGGAGGGGGGCAGTAGGCCATTATTGGGTTTTTCAGCCCAAGGGAGAGTCTACAATGGGTGGCGGTCCTAGATAACTGAGGGTGGGCCAGGCTGTCCCCACAATAACCCATTGCCTGATCCCAGCTCTACCGAGGTACTTCCTGTTCTCAGGACTATTTTATAGGTAAAGAGTGAGGCAGCTGAGTGACTGGATCTGGCCTGCGGGAACGGAACCTGAATGTCAGGTGTCCTGACCCAGCCGGGTTCAGAAACAGTGCCTGACTGGCTTTTGTGTTCAGAGCCCCTCTGTACCTTTCAGGATCCAGCCCGGCCCAAATGGAAAGGTTCTGGCGGCTACTGGCCAGCCCGGCACTCAGGAGCCCGGGCTGTGTTGCTGGTACTGCTGCTTTCCCGGGAACACCTGGTGAGCACCCAGGGGCGGAGGGGGTGGGGGCGCTCTGGAAGAAGGCTGGCCAGGGCAAGGCGACAGAAATCATCCAGCCACGGGGGCCGGGAGAGAGGCCTGGGGTGCCTAAGGGGATGAGCACAGGGCAGCGGGGCCAGGCACTACGCCCACCTTGTCATTTCCATCTGGATTTCAGAACCCTAGTGGTTGCAGCTTCCTAACCAAGGAGGAGCTGCTGCAGAGATGTGCCCAGAAGGCTCCCCGGGTAAGTGCAGAGGTGGGGAAGAGAGGGCCAAGGCCCCTGGAGGCTGTCCTTCTCAGGCACAGGTGGTGTGGAGCCTGGCGGGGGCTGGGGTCGGAGAGAGTGTGGGCAAGATGGCATCAATGTCTCCCAGCAGACCTCCTCCCCTGTCAACAGGTGGTCCCTGGGAGTGCTCGACCTTGGCCAGCCCTCCGATCCCTCCTCCACCGGAACCTTGTCTTCAGAACACACCACCCAGCCAGGTGGGGCCAAGTGCAGGGGCCATGGGGCAGGGGCAGCAGACCTGACATTCTTCACAGGGCCTGCTGTCACCCAGCAAGGTCCAGGCTCATGCTGGGTACCGGTCCCCCGTTGTTGGGATACCAGGAGGGTCACAAAGACAAAGAGAAGCATCCTCCCATTTAATCCCCATCCAGGCTTCTTCTTTCTGCTTGTTTCCCGGGATCCAGCCACGTGCCCCCGTGTCTAAGGACACCTGCCGCTTCTCACTTATAGTCTCTTCTTTACTAGTTCTGTGACTCATGTGTCCTCCTAGTTGCAGTGTTCTATGTCTGTCCCCAGCTTCACATCCTCTACTCTGCCCTGTGTCCCCTAGCTTACCACTTTCTCCAAGGAGCATTCAATTCCTCCTGCCTTAGTTTGATGACAGCAGGGCCGGGAGGGAGGAGGGGTTACAGGGGAAGCAGACTTTGCTGAGGAAGTGGCATCTGACAAGCCATGGGACCAGGAAGAGATTCCAGGGGAAGGTGGCAGCAGCAGCAGGGACCGGGGAGGAGAGCCTGAGACATTTACTGCAGACCTGGGAAGGCAAGGCGTGCTGGTGGATTCAGAGAAAGCTAATTGGATTATACGCGGGGGGGAGATGCTGTGGGGGTGCCTGCTCACACAGGGTCGCCAAGAGGGCGGTGCAGCCAGCCCAGCTGGAGGTAGACAGGAGAGCTGCCAGGTTTGAGGGAAGAAGGGAGACCTGTGTTTACCTCCCCCACCGCCCAGGTATTCACTGACCCCGGAGGGTCTGGAGCTGGCCCAGAAGCTGGCCGAGTCGGAGGGCCTGAGCTCACTGACTGTGGGCATGGAGCCGGGGGAGCCCCCCGGGGAGGAGCCAGAAGCGCCAGGAACAGCAGCGGCTGCGCTGTGAGCTATGTGGCCTCTGAAATGAGGCCAGCCCCCACTCCCGCCTCCACGCCCATAGCGGAGCTTGGGTCATTCCACCTTCTCCGGGAGGAGGAAGGGCCTGTCTTGGCACTGGGGTTCTCGCCTCACACACGCTCCTCCGCCCCACAGTGGCGCCAGTGACGGGGCAGTCCAGCAGCCACCACTGGAGCTGGGGCCTGGAGAGTACAGGGTGCTGCTGTGTGTGGATGTCAGCGAGACCACAGGGTGAGTGGAGGAGGAGGCGGAGACAGGATGCTGTCAGGGGGCACCCAGCCTGCCCTGACCTTGGCCCCGGCCTTGGAACTCCAGGACCAGGCCCAGGGCGGAGCTGCTTGGCGAGCTGGAGCGGCTGCACGTGAGCCATACGGTCCGCAAGTTGCACGTCGGGGACTTCGTGTGGGTGGCACAGGAGACCAGGCCCAGAGACCCGGGTAAGGGGTCCCGGTGGGTGGTGTCAGCAGCAGGCCCAGCAGGTGGGGGGACGTGAGCCACTGAGCCCCTCCTTGGCCTCTCGGCAGCGAGGCCCGGCGAGCTCGTGCTGGACCACATCGTGGAGCGAAAACGGCTGGACGACCTGTGCAGCAGCATCATAGACGGCCGCTTCCACGAGCAGAAGGTTCACTCGCCGACCTGCCCTGCGCTCTGCTCCCGGGCCCGCCAGGATGTGCCCCCCGAGTCCAGGGGCGCCGCCTCAGCCCCGAGGAATCCAAGGGCACTTGTGGGGGGCCTCCCCCACGGCTGGCCGTACCCCCCCGGGAGAGCTGCTTCCGGGCAGCCCTGGGACCGTGTCCCACCAGACACTCGGAGTGTGCAGGAACCCTGTGCTGGGCGGAGGGGCACAGTAAAGACCCCTGGTGGCCAGACCCTTCAATCTTGAGTAAACACAGCCCTGATGTCCGGGAGAGGAACAGCAGCGGCTGCACCCAGTACTGGTCGCTGGGCTGGCCCTGTAGTCAGAGACCGTGGGTGGACGGAGCCTTGAGAATGGGCATGACTGAGGAAGGGAAGACAGTTCAGGCCAGGGTCACAGTGTGAGCAGTGGGGCAGCGGCCGCCTTGAGGTGGGTGGAGAGGCTGGGGGTGAGGAGGGGACCAACTGGGGGACCAGTCACTTGCTTCTGCCACCTCCCCAGTTTCGGCTAAAGCGCTGCGGCCTGGGGCGCCGGGTCTACCTGGTGGAGGAGCATGGCTCCGCCCAGAACCTCAGCCTTCCTGAGAGCACCCTTCTGCAGGCTGTCACCAACACTCAGGTGAGCGGGAGGGTGGGGCCAGCCTGGCGCGGGCCCCATGCTCGGTGGCTCTGGCCAGGAACCTCCTCCTACTCTCGGCCCCTCTTCCGCAGGTCATCGATGGCTTCTTTGTGAAGCGCACGGCCGACATTAAGGAATCAGCTGCCTACCTGGCCCTCTTGACCCGGGGCCTGCAGAGACAATACCAGGTGAGCGGATAAGCCCAGCGGGCACTGGCCTTCCACCTGGGCGCTCATTCCCCTGAGGGAGGCGGAGCAGGTGAGATCCCCATTCCTCCGGCTGGCCCACTGAGGCCTCGTTGGGCAAGGGCTGGCTGGGGATGGTCCCCTGGACCTCTGGCCCAGCCTCATTCCCCTTTCACCTCAGGGCTACACCCTACGCAGCCGCCCCTGGGGAACCCCAGAGAACCCTGAACCAGGTGCCGGGCCCTCCCCAAACCCTCTCTGCTCACTGCTTACGTTCAGTGACTTCAACGCAGGAGCCGTCAAGAACAAGGTACTGCCTTTGCCCTAGTCCTGCGAACATGGCTGGCCCGAGACCAGCCCTGACCCTACCCCCACCCCCACCCCCAGGCCCAGTCCGTCCGGGAGGTGTTTGCCCGTCAGCTGATGCAGGTGCGCGGAATGAGTGGGGAGAAGGCAGCAGCCCTGGTGGATCGGTACAGCACCCCTGCCAGGTAGGTCCCCAAGCGTCCCTGCATAGGACTCAGTTCAGCCAGTGCTTTGTTGGGGTGCCCAGAGATAGGTGACCCAGCTGAACCCCAGAGGGCTCACCAAACTTGGGGCAGGGGAGCCAGGACCAAACCACATCCTAGACACTGGGGAGGCCATGGGAGAGGAAGACCTCGGGAAACAGGAGGCCCCTGGGTAGGGAGCCAGCCAGGCCCATTGTGCTGGGCTGAGATTCCCAGACACGGGGGCATCTTGTACATGCAGCTTTTAACACGTTGGCTTGTCCCGTCCCCGTGCGTCTGCAGGAAGGGAGGCCGGTGGGATGTGCAGGGCCTTGAGTGCCAGGCTCAGGAAGTGGAGCAGCGACCCCACCCTTCATACCCATGTAGACCCTTTCCTGCCTCCTTGCCCACGGTGCTGGCCTGGGGCTGGGTTCCGAGCAGGCCAGCGAGTAGCCGTAGTCAAACGTCAGAAATCCCAACATCCCACCTACCTCCCCGCCCCCCAGCCTCTTAGCAGCCTATGACGCCTGTGAGACTCCCAAGGAGCAGGAGATGATGCTGAGCACCATCAAGTGTGGGCGTCTGCAGAGGTGAGGGGCGCGGAGGGCACAGCCGGGGCGGGGGCTGCAGGGCGCGGGGCCTGACCTCATCTGCCTCTCGTCCTGCAGGAATCTCGGGCCCGCCCTCAGCAAGACCTTGTCCCAGCTCTACTGTACCTGCGGTCCCCTGACCTGAGCTGAGCCAAGAGACAGATTCCACTCTTGCCTTCCCCCTCCCCGGCTGCTTGATAGCCTTTTAACTGGCCCCTCTTGAGCTATAATAAAAATTTAAGTGTTCACAGCTTTACTCACGGAAGAGGCAGAATTGAGGAGGCAGGAATGGGGGAGCCCTTGTGGTCTGGTTTTAGACTGAGCTCCTCAGAACCCTGGAGCCCCACAGAGCACTAAGGCTGCCAAGGAGTTGAACTCGGGGGCCTCTGCAAGTCAGAACCACAAGGGCAGTGGTCGCAGTTTGCCTTGAGAAGTTCTGTAGCCTGGGAAAGAAAAGCTTGGAACCCACTGACAGTCCGTCTGCTTCGTGTTACGGATGGAAACACTGAGGCACAGGAGTGAGGAGGCCTTGTCCAAATTCATGGTTTGAGGCGCAGCTGGAACTGGAACCCAGGGCCTCCTGGCCCTGCCCAGAGCGGGAGACCCCTAGCAAAGCTGCCAAGCCCCAAGCTGAGTTGAGGCCTCGTGACCTCTCACCAGGGTGATCTGACACCTGGTGGATGTAGACCAATCGCAGCCTTGGAGATGGGCTCCCAGCTCCCGCCATGGGGCCCTCTTCCCCAGCCTGGGGTCCCTACAGTGTCACCCCCACCTCAGCCACCAGGACTCCTTCTTTCTCCCTTTATTGCCTTTCTCTCTCGGCCCTTCACAACAGCGTCTTCCCTTTTAGCAGAACGCAGTCCTCCCTGAAGCCCAGGCTCCTCCCTTCACTCCCTGAGGGTCCCACGCCCCTCCTCAGAAGGTGTAGGCCCCCACGAAGACGGTGAGTCTCAGTACAGAGCTGGCCCGGTAACTCATGAGGGAGTTCATGGTGACCATCTCCAGGTCCAGCACGTACTCCCGGGGGCCCGTCACGGGCCGGGCGAGGACCAGCATGGCGCTGACGTTGTTGATTTGCTGCAGGGCACGGGGGGGGGGGGGACACATAGATTGTGTCAGCCTGTATGTTGGGACCCTAACCCAGCATCACCTCCTGACCGCTATGCCTCATCCCCAAGCCAGCTGCCCAGGAAGCAGAACCTGCCCAGGCTGACGGCTGTCCTATCCCGTCCTCTCATCTCCCCTCCTGCCCCCAGGTCCTGCCCTCAGAAATAGTCCCTTGGTGCTCTTCCCACCATAGCCGGCTGGTCTAACCAGTGACGCAGATGTGGGACAAGGCCAGAGTGAGACTTTGGAGCGGTGGGGCCTGTGGTGACCTGGAGCAGGCAGACACCCCTTCACAGCATTCCATTTCAAACAGAAGAAACAAGGATTGATATCAGACAAACCCATTCTTCAAGTGAATACAGCCCAAGGGCCATGGGTTTGAGACCCCTGCACACACACCCCTGCTCTCAGTGTGAGCCTGGCCGCTCCCCACCTCACAGCACCAGCAGCAAAGAGCTGGGTCCTCCAGCCCTACATCCACCAAGCCTGCTCTCCTCTCATGGGGTCCAGCCCCCCCTTGCCCACCTCTCTTTGAAGGCCTCCCAGGCCCCTCACTTGGGTGAAGAAACAGGCCAGACAGTGTAAACCAGTGCAGGGATGCAAACCCCAGAGGCCGAGTGCCTCCTTAGAAAAGCATTTAGCAACCTGCAGCTTGTACCACAGAGCTCTGGTGGTGCAGTGGTCAAAGCATTACAGCTCAATGGGAGTGGGTTTGGTTTGGGTAATTTACCATGGGAATTTAGGTCCTAACCACTCAGTGCAGACCTATAGACATGACTCAGACCAGATACCAATCCTCAAGGGGCTCACAGCCCAGTGGGAAGACAGCCATATAAACAGCCCCACAAAGCTCTGGGCATTGTTTTGTTCTCCCTCTGAGGCGCCCAGGGAGGACAGTGTAAACCGAAAGGCAATACTGCAGTATTACCAAGAGCAAATCCCGCCCCCGAAGGCGGGGCTTCTGTTGAAAGGGCGGAGCTTAGCCACACTTTGGGCTTCCTGGAATTAAATGGTGGATTTTGCACGTCAGTTGAGTGGTGGCTGCAAAGGGCTTACCCGAATGTAGAAATCCCCTTGCGAGTTTCCAGCACGGATCTGAAAGGCATTGTAGGCGCCTGGGTAGACGGACGTCGCTTGGATCTGGAACACGTCGGCGGGCACGCTCCGCTCAGAGGTGATGCTCATATAACGGTGCACGATGGATGAAGGCTGCTCCCGGCACAGGGGGTTGGAGGTCGGACAGAGGCAGCGGCTGGAGACCCCAAGATGGAGGACACGAATGAGGGCCCAGCCGGTCCCCCAAATCTTGCCTACCACCAAAAGGCGGGAGGGGACGATGGATCCTCGCTCCTGCTACAACAGGGCTCACGCTAGTCACGGAGGACTACAACTCCCATCAGCCCACGGGGCACCCGTAAGCTCAGATAGACGCCAGTCAGCCTCAGTCGGCTGGGAGTTGTACTTCCTTTGAGCGCTCGGCGACGAGTTGACTCACTTGTCGGACACCTGGACGTAGGGCTCCACGCAACGGTTGGTGTCCACGCAGCGGTATCCCCCATGGTAGTTGACACAGGTCTGGGTCTCGGAGCACTGGTGCTCGCCCGACTCGCACTCGTCAATGTCTGTGCCGGGGGAGAACAGCTGGAACCCAGGCGTCAGACCAGCAGCCCCTCACGCCACCCTGCCCTACCCGCCCCGCCAACCTGTACCTTGGCAGAGGCGCGTGGCCAGCAGCTGGTAGCCCTGCGGGCAGTGGCAGGAGAAGCGGCCTGGCTCGTTAACACAGCGGTACTGGCAGAGATAACTGGAATAGCTGCATTCGTCGATATCTGAGGAAGGGGTGGGGCTGGTCAGATGGGGGGCGCTAAAGGAATCCTCTCGATTCAGTTCCGCGACCATTTACTCAGAGCCCAGCCCCATGGTAGGAACAGGAGGGAAGGCAGAGAGAGGAAGGAGACAGCCCCCCAAGCTTAGCAAAAACAAACCCATCGCCTTGCATTCCATTCTGATTGGTGGCGCCCCCACGTGTTAGAGATCAGTATCGCTGCACACGGTTTTCTTGGCCATAATCTGACAGGAGCTCATCACCAGACTAGTCCTCTGTGCGGCCGCTAGGGGGGGTCCGAACCTCCAACCTTTAGGTTAGTGGTTGAGCACCAACCGTTTGTGCCACCCCAAGCTTCAGAGGGACAGAAATGTCAAGGTTTCCCACACCACCCCAGTTCAAACCTCTCTCTCTGCCCCAGAGCTATAAAAAGACACTCAGTAAAAGCACTGGGAATCTCAAGGCCTGGGTTTGAATCTTACCGACTGATTTTGGGGACTCTCGATTTCCGTCAGTAAAATGAGTGACTTAGAGTAGACCTGAGGATGCAGCCTGCCCTGGTTTTCAATAACTTGCCCAATCCTCGTGATCCACAATGGATCCAAGCACTGTGAGCGGGGCAGGCAGGGCCCAGGCCTTCTGGTCTGAGCCAGGTGCCCATGGGGCCTTCCTCATCAGGAAGCACAACATCAACAGGGTGCGAGGCCAGGTGACGTGGCGGGAGAAGACTGGGATCGAGCCCAGTCCCACCTCACCCCTAGCTGCGTGGCCTTGGCAGTCATGGAACTTCTCTTCATTGTCTAATGAAAGTCACCATTTATCAGGACACTATGCTTATTCTGTTTTGCAGTCCTCTTAACAAACCTTGGGGGTAGTATTAATGTCCTCATTTTATTGAGGAAGAAAAAAACGTACGTACCTGACCTCACTGGGGTGCTGACAGGATTAAATGAGGCAAAGGAGGGAAGTAAGTTCCACACACAGCACTGGGTAAGGTCTCAATAATCAGCAGTCCCTTGGGAGCTCTGGTGGCGCAGTGCCTGAGACATTCGACCGCTAACCAGAAGGCTGGTGGTTCAAACCCCACCGGCCACTCCTCAGAAAGATTGGGCAATCGACTTCCATAGAGATACTGGCTCGGAAACCCAAGGAGGAGTCACTATAAGTCAGATTCCACTCAACTGCAGTGAGGTTTTTTATTTTTGTTTTTGTTTAAGGTGTTGTTAAAGGAGCTCTGGTGGTGTAGTGCCTAAAGCATTTGACTGCTAACCAGAAGGTTGGCGGTTCAAACCCACCAGCCACTCCATGGAAGGAAGATGGGGCAATCTACTGCCATAAGGATACTGCCTCGGAAACCCAAAGGGGGTTGCTATGAGTCGGAATCGACTTGATAGCAGCAGGTTGGGTTAGGTTAGTGTTGGTGTCTTGGTGGCGCAGTGGTTAAGAGCTTGGGTGCTAACTGAAAGGTCGTTGGTTCTAGCCCACCAGCCCACTCCATGGGAGAAAGACGTGGCAGTCTGTTTCCACAAAGACTACAGCCTAGGAAACCCTCTTGGGCAGTTCTATTCTGTCCTCTAGATTATGAGTTCGAATGTTGCAAAGGGGCCCTAGTGGTACAGTGGTTAAGTATTGGGCTGCTAACTGAAAGGTCAGCAGTTCAAATCCAAAACCAAACCCAACCCACTGCCACTGAGTAGATTCCAACTCATAGTGACATTTTAGGACAAAGTAGAACTGCCCCATAGAGTTTCCAAGGCTATAAATCCTTATAGATGCAGACTGCCTCATTTTTCTCCTTGCAGAATGGCTGGTAGGTTCAAACTGCTGACCTTTTGGTTAGCAGCTCAATACTCTAACCACTAAGCCACCTGAGCCCCTTAGTTCAAACCTACCATTTAATTAGAGAAAGATGTAGCTGTCTGCTTCTGACAGCCTTGGAAACCCCCTGGGGCAGTTCTACCCTGTCCTCTAGGGGCGCTGTGGATCAGAATAGCTCCACCTGCAGTGGGTGTGGTTTGGGCTTTGCTTCTGTGAAGGTTGACAGCCTTGGAAACCCTCTGGGGCAGTTCTACCTTGTCCTCTAGGGGCGCTGTGAGTCGGAAAACAATCAGTTCCACAGCAACAGGTGTGTGTGTGTGTGTGTTGCTGCTAAAGCTTGAAGAAGCCCAGGTCTGCTTTCACTTAATCCTTAAGAAAAGCCGTTTTACAGAAGGAATGGGCCCCAAGAGAAGCAACTTGCCCTAGTCCAGATTTGCATATAAGTACATCCAACTCCCAAGGTTTGTGGTACTCACATCCTTCCTCAGTTTCCCCAGTGAGCATCAGTGGAGACTAAACTGTTCCCCTCTGTACCACACCCCAAGGCTGGGAGTAGGCACCTTGCAACCAGCCCAGGTTGGGGAACACAGGAGGTGCGTGGGTGCAGATTGGATGGGACGTGGAGGCATCAGGCAGAGGACCGGGTGGTAGGGGGCAGGGCACAACTCAGGGCCTGGGGGACCAAGAGGATGAACGCGCACAGGGGGCTGAGGTCTCACCATTGCAGGAGAAGCCGTCCCGGTGCAGCTCGTAGCCTTGGTGGCAGCGACACAGGAAAGTCCCATAGGAGTTGAAGCAACGCTGCTCACACGGGGCCCCCATGTCACACTCATTCACATCTGGGGGTGCCAGCAAAAGGGGAAGGGGTGAAAGCAGAGAAGCAGCCCTGAGCCCATCCCCCGACCTGAGCTAGTCAGGAAGGGGGCTCCCCCAGCCTCTCCTCCCTGCCCTAGCCCAGCCCAGCCTCACCCACACAGGAGCGGTTGTTGGGTCCTAGCTGGAAGCCTGGCTCACACTGACAGCGAAAGGAGCCGGGCAGGTTCACGCAGCGGTGCTGGCAGTAGCGGTAGCGGCACTCATCTATGTCTGGGCAGGAGAAAGAAGACAACGGTCAGACTTCAGGCAGCGCCCAGCCTGCCAGGACTCAAGGCCTCACTACCCTTAGTCCTGTCAGTGTCTAGGGGACCAGACAGGGCCAGGTCAGCCGGGACCCCACACACACATCCAGTCCTCTGTGTTTGGTAGACAGGACAGCAGAGGTGTCAGAGGACTGGGGTGAAGCCACATTGGACCCGGGAGTGGGCTGGAGTGGACGTCAGGGGCCAAGGCAAAAGCCAGGCCAGTGGCTCAGAGCAGGGACTAGAGAGGCCCAGCCTGGACTCACCCACACACTCTGGCCCAATCTTGCGGTAGCCCTCAGGGCAGGTGCAGTGGTAGGAGCCAGGCAGGTTATGGCACTGCTGGCTGGGGCGGCAGTCGTGCAAGGCCTGGTCACACTCGTCCACATCTGTAGAAGACATCATTCAGCCCCTACCCAGGATCCGCTGTGCCTTCTGACATGACAGACCCCTCACAGTAGGAAGATACGGTCAGATACCACTCACATGGGCGCACACGGATTAAACCCTCGTGACAGCACAAATAGCAGGTAGCCAGCCTGGGAGCCAATGGGAGAGGCACCCCTGACCCATGCAACCCCAGGTCAGGGGCCACCAGAGACAGTCTCTGCCCACAGCTCCCAGAAGCACTGATTCCAAGACCTTCTCTTTCCTCCAAGACCCACGGCTCCCAGGGCTGGGATCTGGATCAGGAAGGGGGCAGAGGGCAGAGGCTGGGGAGTCCCAAGGGCTGACTGGGACAGTGGGACAGGAACTGGAGCCCCCTGTGGCAGGCCCACACACAGTGAGGGTCTTGGTGACGGGCTGGACGTCATCCCCGTGGCCCCGAGAAGCCACAGGAGGGTTGGAGCCAAGGAGGAACCGGAGGGCTAAGTTTTGGAGATGCAGTGTTGGGTGCTTTGCGGGGAAGACTGGAAGCCTCAGCACTACAGTGAGCCCCCCACTCACCCACACAGCTCTCCTGCTCGTCGGGTTCATAGCCGGGAGGGCAGGGATTGGGGTGTGGAGCAGGGGGCGGCGGGGGTGGGGATCCCTCGCCATGCAGGTCGTTGATGACGGCAGCCGACCGGGGCAGGCACAGGTAGCCCCCGTAATGGTTGATACATTTCATTTCACCCTTGCAGGCCTCGGGGATGGTCAAGCACTCATTGACATCTGTAGAGAGGGACCCAATAGGCACAGCCAGTCTCCTGGGCTGGTCCTAGGGGGTAGGGGCAGGAGCCTAGCTTGGCCTTCTCCATACTATGTGACTTCGACAAGGCCTCTACTGAATAGGCTAACGCTGCCTCCCTGTGGCCACCGGGGCTGGAGGCAAACAAACCAGCTGTTCCCACCCTTGCACCCATTTTTGCTCCAAGCAGGTCTCTATCCTTCCCCACAGCCCTGGCCCTGGCTCAGCCCGAGAATGACAGGCAGGCCTCCTGCCACCACCGTGGGCACTGCCCTCCTGAGTTGTGATGGAACAGGAGGGCGGCTCACCGAGGGTGGCCAGGACTCAACTGCTCTGGGCAGCGCCCTGTGCTGTCTTGCTTATTGGGGTGTGGGCAGGGTTTCCTGGGCTTCTCTGAGAGGGAGGGGCCTCGATGGCTCCTCCACCCCTAGCAGAGCTGGCCCCCAGAGATCCAGAGTGGGCCGTGGCCCAGCACAGCCCGGCTGATGACAGGCACTAGGCCCTCGCTGCTGCTCAGAGGTGGGGGTGCCCCTTCCTGGGCTCCCGGAGGGAGAGAGGGTCAGTCCCGTAGGTACACTCACCTCGGCAGTGCTGGCTGTCGGGGTCCCACTCATAGCCATCTGTACATTCCTGGAAGGGGACCAGAAGTGGCCTGTGGTCACCCCGCTTTCCTCCAAGCCCAGGGCCTGAGCCTGGCCCCCTCCCTGGCTGCTCCAAACAGTGGTCCCAGCCGCCCCACCAACCAGGGGACGGGAGCCCCTTCTCCAGGCGCAGCCACCCCAGGCTCCTTTCTCTGTGGCCCTACCCAGCCCTTCCCGGGCCGGCAGCCCCACTGTCCCCACCGTGTAGCTGTCAGGCTCCTCGGAGTCCTGGGGAGAGGCTGCCCCCAAGTGCAACAGCAGCAGCAGCCAGAGCAGTAGAGACCCGGGCAGGCAGGAGGCGAAGGTGAGCATCCTGGGGCTGCGAGGTGGTGGGCGGGAGGTCAGCGTGCCTCTGGCCGGGCACCCTCCAGTCCCCGTCCTGGGCCCCGGAGCCCTGGCCCGGGCCGGCCTCGCTCAGGACGACGCCGGGCGCCCAGGCGCCTCTCCCGGCCGGGCCGGCTCCTCCGCAGGCCCGAGCCCGGGGCCCGAGTTTCCAAGGCTATAAATCCTTATAGATGCAGACTGCCTCATTTTTTTCCTTGCAGAATGGCTGGTAGGTTCAAACTGCTGACCTTTTGGTTAGCAGCTCAATACTCTAACCACTAAGCCACCAGAGCCCCTTAGTTCAAACCTACCATTTAATTAGAGAAAGATGTAGCTGTCTGCTTCTGACAGCCTTGGAAACCCCCTGGGGCAGTTCTACCCTGTCCTCTAGGGGCGCTGTGGATCAGAATAGCTCCACCTGCAGTGGGTGTGGTTTGGGCTTTGCTTCTGTGAAGGTTGACAGCCTTGGAAACCCTCTGGGGCAGTTCTACCTTGTCCTCTAGGGGCGCTGTGAGTCGGAAAACAATCAGTTCCACAGCAACAGGTGTGTGTGTGTGTGTGTTGCTGCTAAAGCTTGAAGAAGCCCAGGTCTGCTTTCACTTAATCCTTAAGAAAAGCCGTTTTACAGAAGGAATGGGCCCCAAGAGAAGCAACTTGCCCTAGTCCAGATTTGCATATAAGTACATCCAACTCCCAAGGTTTGTGGTACTCACATCCTTCCTCAGTTTCCCCAGTGAGCATCAGTGGAGACTAAACTGTTCCCCTCTGTACCACACCCCAAGGCTGGGAGTAGGCACCTTGCAACCAGCCCAGGTTGGGGAACACAGGAGGTGCGTGGGTGCAGATT